TAATAATAATAATAATAATAATAATAATAATAATAATAATAATAATAATAATAATAATAATAATAATAATAATAAACCTCAATTTTAGTAGATTTTATCGTCATTCTTTGAAGCTTATGTCTAAAATGAAGTAATTTTTCAGAGGGAGTTTCTGCAACAAATGACGGTTTATTAGCATGAAGAAATAAAACAGATGGGATACACCTAGTGGTACTTAATAAAAATAAACGAGTTGACTTACTAAATTGGCGCGATTTCGTCGATCTATGTTGACTTTCCGATTCTAATTTGTTTACTTTTCTGTCAAAACCTGCATCATCGTTTATTTGCTTATTCTCAACAACACCTGTAATTGGTGATCCATCATCAAACTTGCCTGGAGATTTTGATCCTTCGCTTCTAGATGTGCCCCTATCTTTCTTTGAATTCTGACGACGTTCCTGCTAATAGTAGATATGTATAATCCAGATAAAGTTAGGCACAATAAATAAGCTTATATTCGCTAAAATTGACTTTTAAAGACATAAACCTTCTTTTTGGTATCCACTTCAGCCCTAGGTTCATCTACATCCATTTGTTCTGCCTCATCATCAGTATATGATAAGGATACAGAACTTCTTTTGCGCTTTGAAAGTTTATCTTCAGTTGCTCTATGTTTCTTTACGCCTTTTCCACTGCGGCTTCCTACTTCTTCTTCTGAAGAATAATCGCGGGCCTTTCTCTTTGGTTTTGTGCTCCTTGAAGCTTTTGTTTGGCGCTCTGCAGTCTTTGAAACTGTATGTCCTTTATCTTTTTTGGTTCCTTTGCTACGAACTTTTGATTTTTTATCATATTCACCATCATCATTTTCTAAAGACTCGGTAGATTTCTTACTCTCATCTTCCAATTCAACCTCGTCATCATCTGTTGCTGCTTCTTCGACATCTTCCTCCATTGGATCATCAAAAGATGATGGGTTTAAAGCTTCTCGAATAGATTTTTTTAGCAAATCATCCCGTCTCTTATTTTGCATTTTTTGTAATAATATCTCAGCCTCCTTCTTTTCAAACGGTTTAAGGTCATTATTTCCAAACCAACCACTAAATAAATAATAAATTTAATAACAGTACTCAACATTAAAATTTTATTGAATCTGAAAATATGGTTATAATTATATCATAAATATTCTCTCTTGACATATATATTTTCTAGTAATAACACTGCAAACGTAAGAAAAGGTAAGACAAAAACATACTAGTCACCAGTTCCAAAAAATCTCACACCACATATTGGTTTCGGTCCTTTTGGTTTTTTTGAAAGAACGTTCGAGGGTAGAGTAGATTCAATTTCGACCTGAGACCCAGTACAAATCAAAAAGGTTCAAGTTTCACACATAACCACAAAAATTTAAACAGTAATCATTCACAAGCTTTTAGACTGTAAGCAATTCGGAATGTAAAATGAGCATGTCACATGAATAGCTTACTCGTGCCGGCCACCAAGGATATCCCTTGAGTTTGGCATAAACTATATTTCCGGGAGCGTACGACATTATGGATCGCTCTATACTTATCGAATTTATTGAAATTCAAAAAGTCGATCCTAACAAAGGTTGGCGTTATTTCCTAGAGCTGTTCCTTTAATGGATTATTTCTCGAGTCTAAAGAAAATTATTGACAACCAAAACAAAGGAAGTACAGTAAACACTCCATCTTTTGACTTTTATTTACTACAATATCACATGACACCTATAATTTGTTTCTATTTATAGATGCCATAAATACGTATCAATACTAAAATTCGAAAAAAAGATTTAAAAAAAGGTATATACAATCAATTCTCTTTAAACCGATAGATAAATCAAGCATTTAATCAACTTTGCCTAAATAAAGCTTGATTTTACTATTCTGTTTAGAATATTTATTGTTTATATATTGTATATTATATATAAAATTATATCTTATTGTATAGTATAAACTTTTTATATACTGTATATATTTTTTTATTTTGGCAGTTTTATTTATTTTGGTAGTATTGTTAGATATTTTATTAAAAAAATTAAAATAGCTAGTAGTAATTATTATCATCTTTATGTTTAGCCTTTGAATTTTTTTTATTAAGCTATATAAGTTATTTATTTATTTATTTTATTTTTTTTTTTATTTTAGTGATTCTATCTTTATTTTTAAATAATAACAATTTACTATAAAATTTTTAGTTGGCTAAATCTATATTATCTATACCGTTAACTATTTTTTATCTATATAAATAAAGATTTTCTTAACTTACAGTATCTTATTATTGTAGCAAAATTATAGCAAACCAAAATTAAGTGCTAGAATCTGATCTATATACTATCAGTCAAGGGACATGTCCTTTAACAGGGGTTTCTATTGCAGTTACTTATAAATCAAATGAGTTGACACACTAAATTT